CCATTGGATTTGGCTTGTTTTATAAAAGGTATTTTTATCCAGAGTGGACTGCAGTTAATGCCTTTCCTGGACTCTATCAGCTCCCGTAACTAGAGTCGAACCCCGTTAGTGTAATGTATAATTTTAACATTTAACCACTACATTATATTCACGAGTGCTAGTCGGTCACATAGTCTTTGCTGACTTCTAATATTTTGATTCTTATTATTTTATTCTCAGTCTATACTTTGCTTAAGCACTACTTGCCTAATTTTCATTTGTTATATTTCCACATCTCTTGATCTGTAGTTTTCTACCTTATTCATATATTTCTCTTTGGTCCTGCAGGTTGCAGGCGGCGGTGCTTTGGCAGCTGCTGCAGCCGCCAATGCTGCCGCTTCCCAAGGCCAAGTGGGTTCTGGGCTTGCAGGGCCAGGCCGCAGTTTTTTGTTACAGCCACCTCCGCCTCCTCCACATGCCACACGCCATGCATTTGGAGGTGGCGGGTCCCTTCCTCCGGGTGGACAGCGCTTTCTAAGCACTAGTAACAGTAATTCTGGTCTTCTGGCATCTGGTGGTGCAGGAAATGGACGTTTTAAGTCTACAACGACATCCGGAGGAGCAGAGCTCTCTGGACCTAGAGGCACAGGCTCAGGAAGTGGGCCAGGAACAAGAGGTGTACCTGATCAAGGCTTTCTGTTAAGATTCTAAGTAGACCCCTAAAGGAAGTCTGTATTAGATCCTATAGCCTTATTTATCTCTTACTTTTCAGCATTCAACGCACTGATATTTAAATATTTATATATTCGCAGCTATTCTTTATTAGCTTACTAGGCTTATCCTAGCTTAGCTTTCATTATTTTCATGCCACGTCGAATAACAAGAGTCATTATAAGTGTTAATCTTGCGCTCACACATTTATGCCTGAATCACTATCCCTTTATATTTGATTGGCAAACCTTGTCTGAATTGCTAGATTTGCCTGTTTCTATAAATTCATCTTTCAAGCTTTTACTCCTTTACATTTGTAGAGCCGCTTCACTTGATTTTTATTAAAAGACTGACAAATCCCCTGGTTATTTAACTGGCCCCTTAGCTTAAATTCTCTTTTATTAAGCACTTAGCTAATATGCTTCTTTTGTATATTAATTAATTTCTCTTTAGAATCGAATAAACTTTTTTGATATACCGATTCTGGATTCATGCTTTGTACAGGGCTTAGATTTTCTCCAAATTCACGATGTTCTTTCCTATTCTTTTCGGTTTCAATAATGTGCAATGAATTAGCAGGAGGAAATTCGCAAGAATAATTCCTTGGATTGTGAAAGAAAAAGTAAGTCCTATGCAAAGGATGAATCCAAGATAGTAAAATAAGACATACCTATTCGGTTTCAAATGCAAGCAATTTAGGTACAAAAGAAGCATATTATTTAAATGTTTAATAGACGAAACTTTAATTTAGGGAGCCAGTGACATAATCAAGAGATTTCTATAAGGTGTTTAATGGAAATGTAGCAAAGCGTCTCTACGAATGTAAAGTAGAAAAAGCTTACAAGAAGAATGTAAAGAAATATGCTAACCTAGTCGCCCAGGCAAAGTTTATTAATCAAGTCCAGAAGAATACCGATTTAGGCATAGGTGTATGAGCGCAAGATTGATACTTGGAATGATTTCTTAGATAAGATACTGCTATTATCATTTGGGGCATGAAAATAGTGAAAGCTGATTTGAGACAATAACTTGTAATCTAAGAAAGAAGAGCTGTATTGATATTCGAGTGTATACGTATGTAATGCAGTCTGTTTGACCCTGAAAATTAAAGCAGAATAAAGACAGTTAAATGATCATGATCATACTTTCTTGTATTATTTTCATTCAATTCTACACTTTGGCTTACAATCGAACGTTCAAGATTTCGCATATTTGTAAACTTATCTCACTCCCTGTTTGCAATATTCTTTTTTATGCAAGTCACTTTGTACACAGTTTTAAGCTGTATACAAAAACTCTTATCTCCTTTTTGTTTACGCCGATACTAAATTCGTCTTTTCTC